GGGTTAGGGTTAAGGCTTAGCCAAATCCTAAACCCAAACCCATACCCAAATGAGATCCACACACTGCGGCGGCACCAAGACTTAATTTAATCTTTTTCAGGCTTCTGCCTTCTCCTAGGCTCGGTGACCGGGACACCCGGATAACTTGGGATTTACCCGGCTTGAGTATAGGGGTGTAGGGCTCAGGGTTGAATAATTTACGGTTTAGGGCTCAAGGGTTGCGGCTTCTCTCTGGGATGTCGGATTCAGGATCCAGGGAAACCAAGCCGAGCAAAGACGCCTCATCGCTCACAGCCATGTCCAGTGCTTTCCCTACCTGTCGGAAGAGCAAGGTGTAAGGCCACGAATCTTATACTTTGGGAAGCACACCTCAAAAGATCCTGAGAATCCTGAAGGGAAATCCGAAACCATAGGATAGCTATGATGAGCTATATCGAATCCCTTTCCCCCCTTCAGCCCCCTCAATATGGAAACCCTAGCTTAAAGAAGCTCCCCGATTTGAGACTGCAAGCTCGACCAGGGAAGAGGAATCTAGGGACAGCTAGGCCCCCCAGCAACCCGTTAACAAGGGTACCCTTTATCCTAACATTTGGTTTTCATAAGGGGAACCCAAAATGATGAAAGGGCCAAAAGGGTACTACTCCGGAACCTATGGACAAAATGAAAGGGCCAAAAGGGTACTACTCCGGAACCTATGGACAGACAGCACGCGGGCATTCTCCGAGCCAGTGAGGTCATGTCACTTCTGGAACGCAACACCACGGTTTAGGGTCGTGGGCTTAGGGTACACCTCAGTTGGGATCCGATCGGAGTGGGTACCGTTGAAACCCTAAAAGCCCTAAACCTGACCCATAGGCCCCTAAGTAGTTCCTTTTTGGGATTATTATTTAGATTCCTATAAGGTAATCCCCAAAAGGAACTACTTAGGGGCCTATGGGTAAACCCCTCAACCCGACACCCCGTTTGGTCTTGTCCAATTTCTAGGTCGCTCCCCCCTACTCCAAGCCATGCTCTCAAATACTTTATCGCATCCATCAGTGCACTCCGGCCACATCTTCAAATCCCGGACCAACACGCCACTGGCCGCTCGTATCGTTTGATAGGAATGCTCTTCTCAGCTTCGCAATCACTTGTTCTTTTGTGTCGGTGGGGACGGGCATTGCCTTACAGTTTTTGCGTAGCCAATACTTGTTCTCTGGCATCCTTACAAACGTGTCCACAGCTTGCGAGAAGTCATTGTTGAGTTCCTCGTCTAGGTATCCCAGCCTGCGCAGAACCTCCAGCACCATGTTCTCTGAGTCTCTGATCATGAACGGACCCCCACCATTGTAAACACTTTTCGCCTTCTGGTTACCGAACTGCGTGTTCACTTGTTCATCGTGAAATTTGTCTTGTTTGCCGACAGGAAGGAAGAATGCAAGATCGTTGCGGTACTCCATCCATGAAGTTCCAGGGCTAGCATCTTTAATTTTCTGGTATGCTGCTGCACATCCGGCTTGAGCTGGGAAGACCGTAAGACGTCCGAGGTCATGAGCAAACCAGAACTTCGCCACAGACGGGACAAGGTAGCCGCGCTCTCCACGGTAGCCCCACTCCTGTAAGAAACTTGTCAGCTCTGCGGCGGCTTGATCTTCCCGACGAGCAGCTATCCAAGGCTCTGCCATCTCGACTCGTCCACTACCATCGGGGTCTAAGAAGGCTCTGACTTTTGGACCCTCCTGGATTCTCCCCAAAGGCAGCACACGTGCACCAGTCTCTTGGTAAGCCTGAACGCTGGAAACTGCACCGCGTGGGACGCAGACGACAATCTCTCTCTTTGCAGACACGATTTCTCTCACGAGGTCAACATACCCGGTGTCGGCAGCCAGGAGAGCTAGGCAGGCACCATCGGCCTTCTGAGCTTCAGATGACAGCCTTTCCAGAATAATTTCGTCAACTTCCTCGCCTTCTCCATATGCCTCTACCGGGCAGAGGCAGATGTACGGTGATTCCTCCAACCTCGACCAGGCTAGACGGCCCCGAAAGGAGTAGTAAACGGTGGTGAAAACGGTTCGGCCTCCCTCCTGCAACTCTTCGATCGCCTGTCTGCACCCAGATGCCTGGCGGGTATCGCCATCCACCAGAAACCTGGATTCTTGCTGAAAAAACAGGTATATACATCTACATAAATATAAATATAAATATAAGTATAAATATATAAATATAAATAAATACGTAAATATATTTATACGTACACAAATACGTAGACTAAGTTGCTTAACAAGAGCCCCGGAACTCGACGACTCCTCCATCCCTGCTTGCGCGACGACTGACGAAGGAAGGCGTCGCCCTCGAAGTATGTCGATGGCGGACTTGCTTTGCCTGTCACTGTCATGCCAGGACGAGGGACCCATCTTATAGAAGCGCTTTTGGTTTAGGGGTTCGACTTCAGGCTTAGGGTTTAGGCTTTAGGGCTTAGGGTTTAGAGGGTATCTTAACTACCGTATGGACTTGACGAAATCTTCCAGGAAAAGCGAGCTTGCAAGCGAGCGCGCTTAGAACATACCAGCGAATGCCCGAAGCTGAACAAACGATATGGCCCAAGCCGGAACCCCGCATGCTAAAGTCAGACTGCCAGTGCACTGGCCTTGAAAGACAAGTCCTAACCAGAAGGCCATGACACCCGAAGCCCAAAGCAATCCCCAAATTCCAACCAACCTTCGCCTATCCCCATTATCCTTCTTAGCATCCTACTTAAACGGCCGAAGTGTACAACCCAGGTACATAGTGAACGCCGAAGAACCCACTCGGACGCCCGCGACAATTCTCAAACGAGACGCCTAGAGGCCGACAATCACGCCCATGCCTATGGAACCAGGAGACATCAGAGAACCCTAAACCCTAAACCTTAAACCCTAAACCCCTAAACCTAAACCCCTAAACCCTAAACCCTAAACATCAGAGAGAGACGGGACGAGCGAAGCCCAACGCCCCTGAAACGTGGACCCAGGCCAGGTCTTTAACGAGAAATGCGAAGTTCCAGCCAAAACCATAGACCCTACTGTTGATGATATAAATCCTGCTTTACCTTAGGGATCCTAAACTATGGTATATATTTTTATTGTGGGTCATGCAGGATTTATACCATCAACCGTAGAATGCAGTACCCTTTGTTGGATAGCCTTTTTGGTTCGGATAATTTTTCTGAAAAAAATGCAAGGTAGCAAAACACAGTATATTTTAGGCTTTCGTAGTAAATCAGGTCGTCAGTACCTGAATTAGAATTGGGGCTGTAATCAAAGAAGTATAGGTATCTGACATATAGCCCCAGTTTCCAAGTCCCACGACCCTGTGATGCAATACTCCCCCCCACCTTTGCAACTCCAGCAGCATACAAAGACCCACCGGCTGGCCAGCAGCCGACTGCGGCCAACAACGTCCACCCGTTCTTGTAGGCAGAGCCGAATGTCTGATCTGCCGGCCTCGACACTCTAAACCCAAAAACCATCTATAGACGTCATGTAGAGCTGAGGTGTCCCGAATCTTGCCATTGAAATAAGGTGTCAAACGTCAGACTTCTAGCTCTGCCGCTATACGTAGAACTCCACGATTGCACCAGAATGTCGTCACTAAGTTTGACTAATTATTATCACAAGACGCATGGCTGCTGACCAACACATCGGCAGCAAGGGCAGCCTATCATCGTAACCACCACAAACATCAACATTACCTCACCTGCATGAGCACTATAGTCGTGATCTTCACCCTCATCGTCAACTATGGTTGGTTTATACTAGTTTATACCATCATCCGAGGTTGATTGCCAGGTTCGCCGTCATCATCCAGCTCGTGATTAACATCAGCGGTTTGTGTCGTTAGACTATCTGTTGCTTTGACCGGAAGAGGCTCTTCCTGGTCCCACTGCTACTGTTAACATGTAGAGAGATGTCGCTCGGTCTGTGGAGAGTTGGTGCGACTGCGACACTTGCAAACAGGATGGTTGCCATTCTGGTTGATGTTGGAGATCTGCCTCAGGGCATTGCTATACCGGTGGCGGTGGCGGTGGCGGCGGCGGCGGCAGCGGCGGTGGTGGTGGTGGTACTCTTGTTAGGTCCGCCGGTTTGTTGTTGCTGTTGTCGTTTTTGTACTTGACGATGCATTCGGGGTTGCTGTGGTTGCTGATGCTGTTGCTGCTGTCGTTGTTGCTGGTTTCTTGTCGCAGTTGTTGTTGTTGTTGCCTTGACTGCTGCTGCCCCTGCTGCTGTGGTCGCCTCTTGTGTGTTGTTGTTGTCGTTGTTGTTGTTGCTGTTGCTGCTGTTGTTGCCAGTGTTGCGGCTTTACCAGTTGCTTGATGCAGGTTGTGTGTCGTTTGTGGCTTGAGGCTTGTCGCTTGTTGTGTCTGAATTACGTTTTGCTTGTTGACCAATCTGTACCCCCATACCACTTACTAACACAGCTCACTTTGGGAGTGAGCCTCGGGACGCTTTTGACCCTGACGTGCGATCGTCGGATGCACGGCGCTTCCCTCGCTGAACATCTGCTAACCGTGCGCCATGGATCCAACATTGCTACGCTTCCCTACAACCTGGTAGAACCCTTGCAGTAACCCTTTTAGAAGCCTACAACCGCCGAACTCTCCATTGGGAATCTCCTCAAGCAAGGGAACCCGGTTGAAGGTGTCCTTATTGACAATCAGCCACCTACTGCTCTCATGATTTGCGACGGGGTTCCCCATGTTCTGAATCATCCTTGTGTATGAGAGCAGTCGCCAATCATCACATGGGAAAGAGCAAGTCAACGGGTTGGGGTTTGGAGTTTCAGGTTTCGGGTCAGGCGCACTGGACAACGAACCCCTGACCGCGTCACCTTCCGAAATTTGTATACAGAAATGTATGTACCCATATCTCATGTGCGTGTATGTATGTATTATGTATATATATATGCATATATGCACGAACGAAGTTGAGCAATCTGGCTGCGAGAGAAAACTTCTTCGCCAACAGGTGACTTGAAACCGTGAGCCTGTGTACATCAGCTCTTGGCCCTGACATCCCGCAAGCAGCCTGAAACATGTTCGCGATTACTGTGCATGTCGATATAGCAATGGTGTAACAATGGTGTAACACTGCCATGTTTATCATCGTATGCCCTAGGGGTCCGTGTGTCCAACAATACCAGTAGATACTTTGGGCGGGCCAAAGCATCTGTATTTTGACCACTTAAAGGCCCAAGATATACTATACGAGCACATGGACCCTCAGGGTATGTTGAGTGAAGGTGTGAAGATCTGCACCTATAGTCTCGAGTCTCCATTGTAGCTCCTGTTTGCGGCTACCTTCTAGGATTCTAAATATAAGATCTGGTTGCACCAAAACAAGGAACTACAATCGAGACCATGAGTAGGGTTCTGGGAGAGGTCTGGCCACCATAAAAGAAGTTGCTACTTATTCGAACTCTCACTATATATGTCACTCGGAGCCCCAAACCCTACACCAACTCGAGGTATCTATGAAAGCATGAACATCATACTGACAGCGGCGAGAGGTCGGCGACTCGGGGTTAAAGGGTACAGATTTTGGCGAGGCCCCGAAACCTGCAAGCCTCTGAACCTGAATATGCTAGCAGCGGCTCAGTTTCTCTGTGCCCACATCCGATCCTACCGCTGCAAGCGCCGCAACATGGACACTTGAGCGACTACACAGTTACGGAATCGTTGTAGCTGGCGAGCTGTGAAGATATGCAGTAGCTCATGATAGGCTTACAGACATTGAAGCCCAAAGGCAAAATACCTAATGGGACTACTATCCCAAGCCCTTGAGAAGTCTGACTACGACACTCCAGCGCAAAGCTTCGTAAAACAAACCTAATTCAAGTCGGGGATGGAACAAGCTGGACCCCTGTAAAGCAAACGCAACAGAATCGTCTCCCTAAGCCCTAAAGCCTAAATCTGAACACCCGGTCGCGCGTGCTCGAATGCCAAAACCTAAACTAAATACTTCCATCCTAAAGACCCTGACAGTCAGGGTTCCTTCGATTCATGGTAGAGAGACCGTTTTAAGGTCTCATTCATGGGTAGAGGGATCCTGAAGACACTAACCCCTAAGCTTGAACCCAAAGCCTATACACCCCAAACCCTAAACCCTAAACAGCCCCTGTAAACTTCAGTTATAAAATCTGACTATTATAGAACTCTCGAAAGGCACTGAACCATACGACTTTCCTATTCCCACATGACATCTTCAAGACCCGGTCCCCCTAAGCTAAGCTCTCAACCCCGAAACCCTAAACCCTAAATCCCCAACCCCAAAGCCTAAATCCCAAAACCCCAAACCCTAAGATCCCTCCTCCTCGCGACGTCGGTGAACTTCCGCTTCGGCGTCTCTTTTTTGCCTCGCCTCCTCCTGACTTGAGCTTTCGGTTTAGGGTTTAAGGTTTAGAACTGTGGGCTTTTGTTTAGGTCGTCAGCTTTGCGATGTGTGGACGTTTGCTTAGGATACAGGTTTTAAGGGTTTTAAGGCCCAATTTAGGGTTTAGGGTTCAAGCATTTAGAGATCTTGCCGACTGTTCCACCCGACATCCTTAATGCCTAGAGCCTTTAGGAAAGGCCCATTCCTCAAAAGACGGCAAGGACACCGCCCCTATTTCGAGGCGGTGACAAATTCCAGCCGTCGACACACCAGCAAGTGGTCGCAAGTGTCGGCATTTAGGGCTTATAGGGTTTTAGAACACAAAGGGGCTTCTCCACCGCGGCGAGAAGGCCAATGCTGACACGGTGACAACGAAGATCTTTGCGGCTCTCCGTCCAGCGGGGCACGAGAGACATTTCGTCTATTCTGCCGTGCCGACTCACACAACATTCAGTTGCGAGCGCTGCAATCGTTTAGCGTGTCCTGTGTCGCAGGCAAGCTTCTACATGGAAAGTGTGTGCCCAGAAAACCTTTGAAGGAAGGATTGCTGGATTGCTGGATGGATGGATACCTTCCGCTTTGGGGTGTGATAACGTCCCTCGCATGGGCTTGACAAGTTCAGATTTTGCACCCCCGAGTGCACACGACCAGCATGTAGATTTCTGCTGCTGCGGGGGTGGAATTTTTTTGATTGGCTAGCTCAGGGTGCCGGCGCTGAGTTCTCAGTTGTTCTTGCATTCCGTTTTCGCTGGATGGCCTCATAGGGGCACCAGCATAGCCGTGCGAATGTGAATTCAAGACTTTATGTGCTAGGCGAGCGTCTGTACAAGACTCAACTACGGAGAATGAAAATAATCAAAACGGGACTGTTCACAGACGGGAATCACGCTGAACGGCAAAGTGCTCATCACCACCTTCTATGTTTGCACAAACAGCCTATGACAACATAGTAGTTGACATGAAGCAGAGGCATCGGGCTGTCTTCGGCTTTGATGCTAAGCCCATTTGAAACCAAATCCAGACCCACTCTGACAGCGAAGACAAGCCCAAATATCCCAAACCCTGAACCCATATCCCTGTATATCTCAGAATCACCTAAATTCCCTACACCGGGCATTTCCCTGAAACACACTAGAATGTGAGGGGGCCTTCGCATTTAGAATAAGTGTTTGCGGCAATTTTGGTGTATATCATACTACAACTCTTGTTGAGGTCGGAACGAATTGCTAAAATATACTAATACTATCCCCTTATAGTTCACTTAAAACTGTATACACATATTTTAATGGATCCTAAAACCCTATTCTAATTATCCAGGCCGCTATTACATTACTCACAGAGACCCCAAGGAATACAAGACCCGGAAAGCTCCGAATATGGTTTGTACTTCATCCGAGCGATCCGAAACATAAGCGAGATCGGGAAAATCTGCTGGATGAAGTCCCTCTTGCTCTGACGACCTTGAACACATGTCCTGAACTAGCTTTACCCCTAAACCATGAATCCTAAACCCAAACCCGAAGCCCTGAGCCGTGCGACTCAAAGCCCGCTTAGCCCACCTGACGCCCTCAAGCTCTAACCTTCTCAACCCTACAGCTTCAACCTTGAACTCAAGCTGGGGTATAAGACTCAAAAGACCTCCGGTCCTCACCTCCACCTTCCCTCCCCTGGTTAAGTTTAGGGTTTAGGGTTTAGGGTTTACCTTGACCCCAAAGAACCTACCTTTTCAAGGACTTATATAAAGAAACTATACTAAGGGAACCCTAAAAAGGTAGGTTCCTTAGGGTCCAGGTAGGGGGGTGGAAGCTTCAGGGCCCAGGGTTCTCCCGCCCCCCGCCGGTGCTCGCCTCCTCGCGACGTCGCTTCGCCTGGGCTTCGGCTTCCCGCCGTTGTCTGGCTTCCTCCTGGCTTCGGGATTCGAAGGTACCCTTACTAAGGTTTTAGGGTTTAGAGTTAGGGTTCAGGGTTTCCTAAACCCTATAATGCTAAACGCGAGTTCAAGGCTTGCGGCTCGAGGCCCCTACACTCTGCACCGTCCTAAACCCTAGACCCTAAAGTCTTGACCTCCAAAGACTACTTATCGTTGCAAGGTTTGGTGCAGGGCCTTAGGGCTGAAGGCTTGTATTTCTTGAAGTTGGTGCTGCCTGAGACTTGCGTGTTTAGGGTGTCTAAGTTTGTGACCAAGAAGCTTTGGGTTTAGGTCTTATTGTTCCTGCTGCTGTTTTGTTGTTGCTGTTGTTGCTGCTGTTGTTGCTGCCAGTTTGGCAGGCGCAGGGTAGGGTTAACTGTGGATAAGAGTACCCATAGGCCCCTAAGTAGTTCCTTTTGGGATTACCTTATAGGATTCTAAAAATAATCTCAAAAAGGAACTACTTCGGGGCCCATGGGTAGTGGTGTTTGCTTTGGTTGCGTTTGTCGTCGTCCTGGTCGTTGTCGAATGCACGCCTCCACCGGGCTGCAGGGGTTTGCGTAGCGGTTAAATCAAGACAACTAATCTAGTGCCGGAAAGGGCAAATGGAGAGATATGAAGACAATGTGTAACATATCAAACAAAGCAAATAATGATAAATAACCACACATGAAATCAATTTCAGACAAATTAGGACACATTCAAACGAATCAGGACCTTGGCAAAATCGTGCTTAAGTGAGGCATAGTACTCTTCATTGAATTGCAAAGCCCCGAGGTTTCGCAAAGCATTGACGATTCAGGGTCAAGGACGATTTAGACTCAATGGGTAAACCCAGAACCTGGGGCACAGCCCTACTGTGTGCCAAACTCGAAGGACAGACCATGAGACACTGAGACACAGCACATAAGATGTCATGTCAACAGCGATAGCTACCCCTTGTTCATGTGACATCGTAGAATATCGTAGATTTCGGAATGCCGGTGCGTAGGCCTGGGGCAGCACTTGCCATCATCTGTAGCCCTTGCAATACTCACAACATCTATAACAGCTCTTCTTGAAGCCTTCCCCTTAAGGCCCACCTTATAATAACCCGAAGGTCATGGACTATCATCTTTCGGCCACTGACAGGGCCTCAAAGTATGAGCCCTTCGAGTCTCAGGACTTTAAAAAGGCCCCCTTCCAAACTGCAGCCTTACGGGCCCCAAACCCTAAACTCTAAACCGTTATGGGCCCTAAACCCTAAAGTC